GGACCAGGGCTCCCAGTTAGGCTGGGACTGTCTCAAGGGGCTCTTGTAACGCAAACCATGTACACAGTGACCTCTTTCACGATAGCTAGTTGCCGATTATCCCTATTTTGTTTCTAGAGGTGCTGACGGGAGGGTATTCTGGGGGAAAAGGAACTTTGAAAGTATGAGCTTCCCCCTGAAAAATGCTAATTTCTCTTCTTGTAGAAGGATATCCACATTCCAGGCCCGAGATCACCATGATTACTCTAAGCAGCTGAAAAAGAAGCAGGATAGGAGATGGCAAGTTTTCATTTGGAGACTTTTCTTCCTCCTGTACAGCAAAAATCTCTTTGATAGCTGTTGTTAATGCCATGTCAGCCCTGTCAGTAACAACGAGACCAATAAAAAAGAGACAGAGGGAAATACGCCTATTAGGTCAAGTTCCTACCCAATGCATTTTATGATTCAGGGTTTAATTAGACAAGGTGCTTAAATTTATAATGAACTGCTAATTATGATTAACCTACCTCATTTAGCAATCCCTAATGAAAAACAACAACTCATAAACCTTACCTCAGCAGAAGAATGGGAGCTGGAAGGTAACGGGAAAGGAGTAACAGCCATCTGATTGACTGCATCTTCACTTCTGTCAAACAAACACCAACATGTTACACACTAAACCATAATGGTCAACGTTTTATTTTGAGTTGGTTTTGCCCATTAAGAAAATACTCTTACTAGAATAAAAAGTAACTGTTTCTTACCAGAAGTTAGAGTTTACAAAAGCACTTCCTCTTTGCTCGTGCTCTTTGCGATCAAACAGATTACATCCCTTCTTGGGACCACAGTGGTTTCATCTGGGACATACTGACATTGTATTTTTTGGAAATCTCATTTTGTGTGGATTATCAGAGGATGCAGCTGGAGTTTATGGTCCCTACACATCAATAGATGTGCTAATACTTCATTAGCCCCTTCTTCTAGTGTCTACATTTGTAATCTGCTTGTTTATAGTCCAAAATTCACATTACTGAAATATAATCTATTGTTTTACTACAATAGATTGGGCTTTTTTTCTTGTTCATATTTGCTGTGGTCTTTTCTGAAAGATTTAATGTAAAAACTTGGAAGAATTTTTATAAGATGCAGGGAGAAGAAAAGCTGGCCATTGATTCCTCCTACATATAAAGTGCATTGTTTTTCAAACATGCTTATTATGTGGCGTCTTTTTCTCTATCCTCTTTAAAATGTATTCCTAAGTTGACATCTGATTATTTTGTACCTTCCAAAAGCCTTTTTTTTTTTATTAAACAAGATTCCGCCTTGCTAATGTTTTCCCTCAGTTGCCATTTAAAATTACTTGGCTTGTGGAATGAGCTTTGTGGTTTTCTGGCCTCTGTGAAAATAAACCAAGTAAAATAAGATTTCAGTTATGTTTTTTAAGGCAAATCTGAGGAGTATGAAAAAGAAGACTCCAAATTTTGCTTCAAAAACTGTACAGATGCACCTCTATTTTCAGAGTGAACCCAGGAACAAGACACAAACCCCATTTTGCTAAAGATTCAGTACTACCACACAGCCTCTGCTTGCCACGACAAGAGAGAGGAGGAATCAGTAACACCGCTGCTTTGTAGATATGGAACTTGAGATGAAAGTAAATGACTTCTCATGCAATGGGTCTTCTGGGTTTGATTTCTGGTCCTATCTACCTTCCAGGGCACCATAACGCAAGCAAATTTTTTTCTCTTTAGTTTCTGGAATAAAATATTAATTGGTATGTGTTTTAAAACATTTTTCTAGAAATGCCTGAAAGAAAAAAGCCTCATTTATCCCTCGAGTGTTAAACACATGAAGCTAGCATGTTCTCATCACCGAAAGCCAACACTGAAAACCAATAGCTCTCAGCAGAGCAGTGTATGGGAAACTCAAATCACAGGCATTTGAAATGATAAATCCTGCAGGCAAAGGTTGGTGAATTTATTTACAGCCACACAATTCAAAGGAATTGGTTCTGTGCTGCTCATTTTTGTACTCGCTCCCAGTCTCTCCTCTTGGCCCTGCTCGAAGCCTTGCCAAGAATCAGAAACCACGCTCAGATCAGAACCAGAGCGGCCCGTGATGCCGAAACATGAGCACACAGGGCCAAGGCAGAAATCTGAGGAATGCACAGAATCAAGCCCATGAATTTCATAAGCATTTCACAATTTCCAAGTGCATTTTACCCCATAAGGCATATTAGGCAACAACGTTCTTCCTCCTCTTATCTTCATGAGACATCAAACAAATCAAGCTGCTTTTCTAACCTATAGGAATAAATCCGCGAATGTAAGGTGTCGAAGAGTCCCAGCAAGATTTACTTGACTGTAGAGGTTTTAAATGAAGCACAAGCAGCACGAAAACTAACACCACTTGTGTAGCTTACAACGGATGCTGCGTATCTTGCAATTAGGAGCAAACTTGAAAATAACTAGGTATGTATAAACCTTTGTAAGAAATATCATTCTAAAAATTGCTAGACAGAAGCTTCATGAGCTGCATGATAAAGTGGGGTGTAATTAACTATACAAATTAGTTTTTACTTCATATATACACACAAAATGTTTTTTTTCCCCAATCACTGGGCAAACATTTTTATGCAGTTTTAAATGGATGGCCATTTTTATTCCAAGCAATAAAAAAACACTTACAGTAATTTACTGGGAAAAAATGCAAAAAAAAAAAAAAAACCCAACCAAGGTTACAAAGTGTCATAACTTGTAATCTCCCCCTGCTAGGACTCGTACATATTTAAATACTTTAATGCTGCTTCAAAGAAGAATGCTTCAAAGCAGAATCAAAGGGGGAACATATTTTAAAGTGACAGATCTAATAATAAATCGCTCTTTCTGCTCTCCACTTCCATAAGTGTCCTTAACTAAAACATGAATTTATTTACAACTAAAAGGAGCAATCATTTCCTTTTGATGCTGGAGCAGACAGCTTAGAAGTCTGAACATCATATTCAAATTACAGTGACTGCAAATGAGCATTCAATGTATTTGCCAATAGTTGCTACATAACCACCTCCGAGAAAGCTGTTCTCAGTTGCTAGTGCTCAACATTGCTTGAGGTTAAGATGTCTAAACCCTTCACAGTCCAGACACAGCTTTGTACTTGCAGGGTCAAAGCAATGTACAATGCAATTTATACAGTGGGGAGGCTCAGATGTTTCCCTCTCCATTACCTGTAGAAAATATAAACAGTCACTGCTCTCGTTCCAGCTCTCATACTGGTTTGTGTAAGACGCCGGGACAGCAGCCCACCTCCTCGTTGAGCTCATGCACCAGAGAGCTGTTTATATTTCATCAGTTACATATAAACTGAATAGGGAAAGAATTCATCACTTTTATTGCTTCTAACCTCTCAGGATGAGTTTTTGAGTGAAAACGGGAACTGGATCTTCTTGGAGGTTAGAGTGCCTAATGCTTGTACCAACATCACTAACTGTAGCTCGATACTGAAGAGACAAGAAGCTTTCCTCACTGCAAATGTCGCAGGAAGCAAGATTAAAGCAATATGTAATTGTCAAAGAATCTTTAAACTTCAGAAAAGCTCATACCCTTTTACATTTATTTGATTACACTGACAGAATTTACCAGATTTTACTTCCTTTCTAGTCTCAATAGGACCCCTGGACATTCCCTGTCCTTTCTTGCTGACCAGAGAACTTCCGATGTTTTGTTCCATCTAACAACTGCACCTCTGATGAAGGGCAAGATGTGCAGCTTAAGTAAAGACAACTACAATTATTATTGACTAATAATCAACTACCATAAACACTTGGCACAAAAGAAGCCTAAAGAGAGCAATATGCAAATACAAATGTAAAGGGATTACTCACTCCACGCTGCAGAAAGCGAGCCTGGAGGAAAGTTAAAGTTGTGTGCTGTAAGGCTTCAGCTAGGCTGCCCTGCAACGCTGCGCTGTGCTTATCAGAAAGCTGGCTCTGGCACTTTGGAGGAATGTCACACACAGCTGGAATGGTCTATGAAGCCTTCAGAAAGTTATCTTTTTAGAGACAATAACCAGAAGTCTCAGCCTCAGCCAAATTAAAGGGGTTTTTTTAAATGCACTCATCAACCTTGGACTTGTAATTTTTGAATTCATGTTCCTTGCCTTCCTTTGAGGATATTTACTGTCTTCCATTTTACTAACTCTTAACATCTCTCAGGTTTGTGATTGTATAAACTCACTGTCATGTAATACTAAGAAAATCCTTGTTGAGCATGCTGAATGAGATTCGGTACCCGTCTAAAGCAGAGCATCTTATCTAAGATAAGTGTTCAAATTTCTTCTGTGATCAGTGCAAAATCAAGACAAATCCCAAACCAGATCTACTTGGAAGGGTAATTAATCCCAGCACCTAAACCACCTAATTTAGTACAGGATGAATTGAATTGCTCTTTAGAGGTTCCAGACAACTGGCCACTCATCACACAAGTCCAGATGACATCTAGATGTCTAAACTAAGGGAGAAGAACCTCCTGCCAAATGATCCACAACTACGCAGTTCATCAACACTAAAAGATCATTTGACAACAGCTTTGTAAGGGGTTATAGATGCTTTTTGGGAATACAAAGTACATCAAGGATGAGGAAGAAAATCCAATAGCTCGCATGCACTTGCATGACATCTCAGTTGGAACAGATCTGCAGACCAAGTGAATGAATGATGTTTGCCCAGTAACCCTTAGGACTCCCACCAGGGCAGATTATTGAAAACTTACTGAAAATACTGAAAACTTACTTATTGAAAATAATCTGCAGGACTCTGCACCAGTCCTGTAGATTACTGAAAACTTACATTGTCCACATCCTGCTTGTGGAAAAAAAATAATTAAAAAAATCAGGTCAGGATCTCGTATTTTCTCATCTTTGTTTTCCCTCTAGAAGTTTCTTTGGAAAAAAGAAGCTGCAGGGAAGTTGCACACTGAAAAGGCATGCTGGATTTTTCCTCCAGCTGGGTCAAGGCAAGACCTTTGTATTGTGCATCTTCTTGAAAAATCACTCGTACTCAAAGCAAGAACAATCTTGCTCTCCATTTCCCCTCCATCAACTCCTAATTATGTGAGCGCCAAATGCATACAGATATTTTAAATGAACAACTAATGTTCATATAAACTGCAGCTTAAGTCATCAAAGGTTTGAAAGAGCCAAAATTACTTAACTTCCTCAACCGTGCACTTGTTCCCACATGTGTATGACAGCAAGGAGGAAACAGCTCTGAAGAAAACAGGAAAAGTTCAAACTTGCACACACAGTGTCTGGCAAGAGCTTATTTTTAAAGTTTTCCCACATGAAAGAACTTAAACAATCAAAGCAAGTAAACCCAGAGTTTACACTATTAAAATATGACCAATTATGTAAGTTACAACAAACTTCAAGCAGAAATTATTCCTAAAGCATGGCAGTATTTGAGACTCTGGCATATAATGTACAACGTTACTTATAGAGGCTCTAAAAGAAGAGCAAAGACTCGGTGACAAAGTCCCAGCAATAGAGAGTGTTAAAGAGCACCAGCCCCTGCCCTCGCTTTACCAGTCCTCAGAGTAGGACCTCTCTCCTTTCCATGTCACCATAAAAAAACCCAAGAGATTAGTTTTTACAATTAACAGAGATTTGTGGGCTTCACTGAGAAGCTACAATCCCATCACCAGCAAGAAATGATAACGGAATGAATGACCGCAGTGTGGGAGGATGACTCTGGACAGCTAACAGATGGTATTTAAATCAGCAAAATCCTACAGTACTTTACTCTTAAAGCTTTTCTCACATTTCATCACAGCTCAAGACAATTTTCTTTTAAGGAATAAAGGTATATCAAAGAATGAATCATAGACGTGAACACAATGGGATGATGGTTTGAAATCACTGGCATTCACTTTGATTCAAGCATTCAAACTATATTTGATCTGCTTATTAGACCAACACTGAAGCATCAAAACAGATTAAAGGCAGTTAATTGAGCATGGAAAAACCACTGAATTTGCTGAATCATAAAATTCTTAATGTAAAAGAGCATTCTGATATAAACTGGATTTCCTACTACAGATGTAAAATCTAATTATATTGTTTTATTTTGCATCTTAAAAGGATGGACTTACAATTCATGAACAAAAACCACAATGGATACAAACCCCATTCTATTTTGGGAACTAGGGCACAGAGAATCCTACAGGAAGCAAGTCCCTTTCTCATATTACTACCTGGCTAATTCTTGTTGGAGACTCAGATCAAGAATTTCAAAAGGTAACTGAGATCCTTACCTGCCCTATTGCCACTGACTTCCAGTAGCACTTCCATAGCAGGACTCCTTTATATGCCTCAGAAAGCTGCAGTAAAATTATTATTTACTTCTGATATTCAGAAATAAATCTTTGCTACAGTAACTTGTAAGTTAATGCAGCAGCTGTAAGACTTTTGAGGTCAGATAAAATATGACTGGACACTAATCAAAGGAAGCCCTTGGACCAAGCCATTTCTTCTCAGGAGAATCTTGCCATGCTTGGGCAATTGGTTTGTTTGTTTGTTAACTGGGTGAGCAGGTTAAATGTCTTCAAATTTGTAACTGTAGAAGGTTACAAAGCACAAGATGCACTGAATCTATATAAAAAAAAAACCCCAACGTTGTGACACTATAACTGCGAATCTTTTAGGTGCTATTACAAGCTCATGTAATTAATGAGACCACTGGGAAACAGTGCTGTGTTAAGACCTACATTTTGGAATCTGGCCAAAATCAACTGTTTTAAGTAATCATCGTCAACTTAATTGAGGAAAAGATGCTCATAAACCAGAGTGAGAAGCCTTCAAATAAAAGGGGATGTCTGTGACTCTCACAGCACTGAACTGTGCTATGTCTCATCAGCAAAAATTGCAGGAAAGGGTGGGAATGCAATTGTAACACTACCTGGGTATAAAAAAAAGTGTGAACGGATTTTTATAGCACAGATGGTAAGTCAGGATTTTAGTAAAAAGTCAAAAAGGCTGAGGACACTTTCTATTCTTTATTTTTTCCTAGAAAAAAATAAATGTGGGTGCAACAAACCCCAATTTATTTAATAAGAGTTCTTACAGTTCCCACAGAAAGGCTTTTCTGTGCCCAGGAATTTCTGGGCTTCTCTCATAACTGATTAAAGATTTTATGGAAACATCCCCCTGCCCTGCAAATGAACCAAAACACCAGAAATAGGAAACCTTGATGCTGTTTCCTGCTTCAAAGTGAAAAGCAGCATGCTTATCGCCGAGCATCCTTCATCTGAGGAAAATAAGGCCTCAGGATATCAAAAAGGGCACTTTTTAGTAATAGTTTAAGAGTCCCACCAGTTTTGCTTTTATGTCCTAGGTCAGCTCAGTCAGGCATGCAGGAACTTTTTAGGCTGCAGAATGACATGTTTCTGGAGAACTACAACCTACTCAGGCCTTTCACTGGTGAAACTGGAATAATAATATCTTCATGCTCATGAAGACCAAACCCATTTCTGTTATACCTCCTGCAGTACACAATATTTTTGCCATGGTGAGCTGTGGCTTCTTCTTACCCTGTGCTCCACGATGTGTTTATGCTACTTTTAGAAGAAGTTCCATGGGTAACAGCACTCAGGAGGAGGAAAGTAGTGTTTCTGTTGCAACTGGCTACTCCTCATTTTCAAAGCATAGCAAATGTAACGGTATCCTGCTCTTTCCACATCATTAGAGCCCAGAGGAACCCATCTGAAATCAGCCAAGCAGCAAACCTACCAGGAAAGCTGACTCTGCTACACTCAGCACTTTGTTCTCAGCTGGAAAAGCTATTGCACATGCACATATGAGAGAGATGGATGGAGATTCAAGATGCCCGTTGCTGCTCTTATTTACTACAGCTGGTGCCACAATGCAGTAAGCAGTGGCATTTCAGTACCTCCATTTTATAGTATAAATTTGAAATAAGTGGATAAAGCAAGCAAAAACTTTGCCTACCAAACTGTATCACAGACAAGACTTCTGTACCAGCAGGTTTTTTTTCATGTTTTCAGTCAATCACATCCACTGGTTTTGTGGTTGAAGGTATAGGAACTGGAAGCATCAAAATAGAATGGGCTCATGGAATATTTTTTTGCCTGAGAAAATAAAACTATTCTTGTTTCACCTTAAAATTCACCTTTAAGAGAGACAGCCTGATCTGGCTTTGCTAAGATTTTGAAACACCTCTCTACTATGAGAAGTTGACCATATATCAAAAAAACGGTGACATTAGTTTTCTCTCTGCATTAGAGCCAGTGCTCCACTTACTAAAGACGTTCTCTCAGTGGGGGAGTTTCTTCTCATAGCTGTTCAAATGGCTGCTCAGGTCAAGTGAACAGACCCATCAGCTGTCAGCATACTCTAATGCAAGCCCAAGAGCAGTGACAAGATGTGTGCTCTTGGGAGGTGTGAAGACCTAAGTTTACAACCTCAGCAGCAGCATTTAAAAATGGAAACTTTTAGTTTTTAAAGCTCTAAAGAGAAGATTTATCCAATATCTACTAATTATGATAATTAAGACAACTTTTTGCCTTGAAATCCAAACTTAAAAAGACAATTTGAAAAGGGGAATTACGGCTAAGAACTTAACTGGCCTTTATGCCTTAAACACAATAGAAAATATGCACCAAGGATTTCCAATCCATGGGTGACTCAAGCTAACACACACCCTTCGTTGCAGCACTGCGCAGGTGCAGCAGGGCAGGTTGCCCAACAGCACTAAACCCAGCCCTGGGTTTTGGTTTCCTAAGTTGTGGTTCTGCCTCTGGAACTTCCAACCAGACACGTTTTCCACAGGCAATTAAGTAATGGTGAGTGAGTTGTCATACATGACGTTTAATTTTCAATAGTTGGAGAAAGTAACACAGGAGCTGCAGGCAAGATCATTAATCTCCTCCAGATCCTCTGTGCTGCCAAGTATAGCAACTCATTCGTCACGGCACTAATGCTGCTCTTCCATCATTTCTGTGTATGCTGTACCAGACAGAGCCATGCAAGTAAATGTACACATTTATATGCATTCACCCACAGATTATTACATGATTCACAGGTAAGTTGTGTATGAGCAAAGAATATAAAACAATATCAAGTACAAGGTATATGTTGGTGGGAAGACACATCATAAAACGGCATGGGGACAAGTGCTCAATGACAGTCACAGCTGGAATAGATGCATTTATGAAATTCCAATATATTAAAGCATATATGAATTTGGGGAAAGAGGCAGCTTCTTCCCAGACCTCCTGCCCAGGGTCATGAGAGTAGCACTTCCTGAACTATAGGGTGAATGCATGGAGGTGTCCTTAATTCACATACAAAGAGGAATAATTTTCATGACTGGAGTAATTCTTATGCAGATGAAAGATTCTTTTAGCATATTGCTTCCTACAGAAGCCGCCCCAGTGTCCCTTGTCAAAGTCAGGTTCCCTGCCTGTACAAATAAGCCCTAGCTCACCTTTTAAATCCTCTTTCGATGCCCGTACAAAGCTATCCTTCACACACACACACACCCAGCCCCTGCTCCATATTCCCCATCCACACTTGCTCGCTCCTCTCACTGCAGCTCCCCCTCCAGCCCCAAGCCTCTGTACCATTTTCATTCCCTTCCGGCAATCTGGGTGAAGCAAGATGCTCACCCCATCTTTGTGCTGGCAGAACCAACCTAAAGCACTTAGTAGGTTTTGAGGGAAGAAGCTTTCATCAGGCTGCTCTCAAACCCAAGAGGTTTAGCTCAAGTCTTCAGCAGACACTCCTAAAATATGCATTCAATTACATTAGATTTTTTTAATTTTTACATTATTAAGGAGAACTCTTCAACAGTCCTGAGATAAATAGTCAAGGGGAAGGCTTATTTCATTTCAAAGAGAACTGAATTCAGCACTTTCAAAACAGGCTAAATATGTAAATATGCAATAATATAAGAGGCTAATGTGCAAACAAATGTTTTGATGCGAACTGTTCTTACCGTATGAAAACTAGCTTGACCTTCGATGGGGCAGTCTTAATGATTGCAGAAGCATTCTGATGACTTCTTCCATACAATATCTGATTGTTTATCTGTTAAAAGAAAATGAAGATTTTCCTGTAAGTGGAGAAGTATGCATTGTTTTAATTTATGCCACCAAGACTTCCAAATTTAATGTGGGATAAAGAGGCAAGACTCAAAGAAAATGTGGTCTGCTAAATAAAAATTGTGTAATTTTTGAGGTTCTTACAGAGAAGAATACCAGTGTTGCACTGATAGATATACCTATCTGTATGGTGCTGTAGAGACAGAAATACCAGAGCTGAGGCACTCAGACCATCTTTCAAGGACGAGACAGGCACTGCTCAGCTTGGCCTCAGATTGCCCAAGACTTCCGCCACTTCCCTTAGCCAACTACCGGAGAAGGATGACGGGTATAGTCCACAACTCAGCAGCAATGCTTTAATAATTTCTTATCAGTTTTATTATCATTCCTTTTGAAAAGATAAATCCTAATTTACTTTAAGAACATCCTCCTTCTCATACTGATTCCATAAGGGACCACAGAATTGCAGCCTTGAAACAGATTTTGAAATACTATATTTTCATCATCTTAGACTCTGATTTATTAAAGAAAAAAACCTGTATTAATACCAAACAGCATTGCACAAACTACAATCATGAAGATCATACGCAGAACATAAGGCAGATAAGAATTCCACAAAAAAACTGAAGAAAGTAAAAGCTGAGTTGAGTAGTATGGGGGAAAAAAAAAAACTATGTCAAGGAGATTAACAAAACCCTTGAGCAGTTGCTTAGTTGTATCCTGATGATTTTCAGATTTAAAACTAAGCTGAAGCAAACACTCAGCAAGGTGGTGAAGGAAAGCAGCCTCCCCTGACAGCAGGGAGCAGGACTACCAGAGCTGTCTTCCTTTGACTTTGACACTTTAGACTCGAATAAGCATCAAGATAACAACATTCTGTGGAAGAACAATTAATTACCTACACCTGAATACCTATGAACATGGAAATTAATTCAAAAGCTATGTTCAACATTTTTTACTTTGTCCAAAAAAGAAGGCAAAGCTTTAAAGATGAAGAAAATGAAATGGAAATTAATAGTATTTGAAGTCATGATGTTAGTTCAGGCTCATGGTTCAACTCACCTTGCCATCTAAGCAAGCACAAGAGGCTTCCAAGCGTGCAGAATAATCTGCTATTTAACTCTGTCAAAATTCTTACTGCAAGCATCTTGATTAGATTAATGCACCTCTCTGAAGCTGGAGTGTTCACACACCCTTCCAAAGTGAGTAGCCAGCTTCATTTCAATACTGCGTTTTCTTCCTTCCACTCTTCATTTACAACATAATATTTACATTCACATTTGATATACCAGTGCTGTTTAAAACAATAATTATAACGAAGCCCAGGAACAATACACTTGTGATTACAGAAGGACTTTTTGTTACTGAAAATGTTTGTTTTGGATTTTGCTTTTGTGTTCTTAGAAGATTTTTTTTCATTCAAACAAGAAATAACTGGCCAAGTCTTACAGCCTCGTGTCATACAGCCTATTGGCAACTTCACAATATTCCCATCTTATTTTCAATGGGTCAAAACAACACGCAAGTTCATCAGTTAAACAAGGACAATGCAAGGACGAGAATAAAACCCCTGTCACTTGATTATTCATGAAGACTGAAGTGCCATTTACCTACCAAGTTGCTTAGTGTATGAAGAGACAACCAAGAAAGGTCTATGAGAGTCTGAGCTGGCGTGAAACGATCAGCTCTGAGGCAACAGCATCACGCCAACTCTTGTAAGGGTTTAATATGGTGTTGGCTGCAACAGCCATGGTTGCAAAGATGGGGTGAGAAGCAACATCCTAGGCCATGCTTTATTAATCTAAGATAAATTTAAAAATGCAGTGGCAAAAATGAATGCTCAATTGCATTTTGGCTTCAAGACAGACTTGAAACTTTCAGTGAGTTTGTTGACTTTATTTCTCTATATTAAAAATTAAATTCACTGGGAATACCATATGCTTTACACATTGTTTGGATTTGGTTAAATTACCATCAATTTTTCTAAAAAGCAGACTTCTTAGATTAAAATTTATAGTCTTCAGTCTGGCTAAATTAATCCTATTCAGTAGATGTATCAAATAGTCCAAAATTTAATTAGCTGTGAGCTGAGTCTGTAAGTTATAATTATTTAATTACACCAATATGAAAGGATAATCAAAGTAATATATCTCTACAAGGTTTTGGACTGTCCCACATAGTTATTACAGTCAGTATTAATTTTTCTTTCTTTTTTTTTTCTTTTTTTTTTTAAAAAAAAAAAAGGTCACTTTCTTTGGCAAAGTAAATGAATGTTCTGTTAGCTTCAGATACCGCAGTGATGAACAAAGCACCAAAGCCTACTTAAATAAAACAAAAAAGAGAAAATCTAGGATTTCATAAGGAACACAATTTTAAATCTTTCAAATTAAATAAAGTAACATGTCAGATTAACTAAATAGGACTTTCAAAACCTATAAATCTGTGCTTTACTTTTTTCATTAGAGATTAGAAAAGAAAAGCTTTGACTAAGCAAAAGAAATAAACTGTTCTAAATCAACCACAACTCTTCTTTAAATGTCTCTTTACATAACATCTTGGAAAGACAGGAGAGAACAGAGAAAGATAAAAACATGCGACAGGCATGAGGTCAGGTCAGCACGCTGAAGTTCCATCTTTAATATAACCCTCCACTGCTTTATGAAAGATTTTATCACATATCCCAAATGTACTGTTGCCTTCACCTACAAAAGTTTCGTCTTACAGTTTCATACACTAAAGTAGCAGAAAGTACAAACTCACTGAAATCTGAACTCTTAAATTAAGAGAAAAAAACCTAAAGGATTGTTTGCTGCTCAAACTTTAATTGTAGAAGAGAAACATTAAATATAGATTTTCTTTTTAAAAAAAAGCATTGTATTTACTATGTGGCACTAAAGGAAATCCATAAAATTAGTATCATCTGAATTTTATTAAAACCAAGTTAAATGATACCCCAAACCTAGTAAAAGAACTGGCATAGCTTTCTATGATAATTATTTATTTGTAGCAATGCATTAGGTTCCTTCTAATCACAGGAAGTGTAGCATTTCGAGATACATCTAGACTCTCTGAAAAAATGGGTAAAGTTTCAAAAACTTTTTGATCCATTAAATGATACAGACTGAAACCCCACAAAATACACCAAACTCACAAATAATGAAGACAAAAACACTGGAAAGAAGAAAAAAAAAAAAAGTGAATTCTTCTTTCCTCACCAAATTTCTTGCCTAGCACACGTTCCAACATCTGCATCATCTAAAGTGATCAACAGACCATAAACTCCCTAAAGACAGAAAATCTCCTGCCCTGCACTGCGGTTTGGCTTTGCCGTTGGCTCAGCAGGCAGTTGACTCCTGAGGTTCCCCACCTAGAGAGTGTGGAAAGAGAGATGGGATGAGAGAAAACTGCACATTGTGCCCTCATGAACAGCTTTAACAATCATCACCCAACAAACACTAACCTTAAATGGTAACCTGTACACAAAGTGCATGAAAAAAGGACTTGTGTCCTCCTATGAAAAGACCAGAAGGTTACTATCCCTCAACGTTACCTTCAGTAAATGAATCCAAAAACAAGAAGAGAAGCTATGACTGTTGTGTTTAAACAGGAATTTAAAATAAAAATCACCACTGGAGCTAATAATTCAAGATGACTCTTGAAAACTCCAATCTTTTTCCATGCAAAACCCCTACTATCTTTCTAAGTTCAAGTTACTGTCCCTCTTGAGGGATAGTACCACTTGCCTATCCCAAAGTAACTATCTTGAACCAGGAAAAAAATAACAACCCCACAAAAAATAAACTGAGAATAAAACCCCAGTCCCTCACATTCTAAAACAGAAGTGGCATCATGAATTTGGCTGGGTAGTTAATTCATTATTGTTCATCTATTACATTATGGAATAGTTTTGGTTGGAAAAGACCTTTAAGATCATCGAGTCCAACCATAAACCAAACACTGCCAAGCCCACATCTAAACCATGTCCCTGAGCACCACATCTACATGTCTCTCAAATCCCACCAGGGAAGGTGACTCCACCACCTCCCTGGGCAGCCTGTTCCAGTGCTTGACAAACCCTTCGGTGAGGAATTTTTTCCTCATATCCAATCTAAACCTCCCCTGGTGCAACTTGAGACTGTTTCCTCTTGTTCTATCATTTGTTGACTGGGAGAAAAGACCGACCCACACCTCACTACAACCTCTTTTCAGGTTGTATTATTACAACTTAACTTATATTCCTCTAAGAATCTTAATATAAAATAGCAATTTAGTACAAAAGCTCTCTGGCTTTGAGCTATGACAAAAATGGCACCAAAAAAAAAGAAGAAGAAGAAAAAAAAAAAGCTTCTTATGCAACAGTCCAGAATGGACAACAGGCAAACTCGTACACCAATTCTTAACTACAAAGACTAGCTTTCACTCTTTCAAGAAGTGCTGTGGTCTCCTAGAGCAAAACATCCAAACAAGCAGTTTCCTTCCACCTCCTGCCCCATTTTCAGCAAGATAAGCAGGGACAGGAAGATGGCAGAAAATCCCAACATCAGTAATTTAGCATAACAGGGCTCTGAACAGCTTGGTTTATTACGAGAACACAGTTGACTCTCTTATGGAGAGATGACAACAACAACAACAATAATAATAATAATAAATAGGGTGGATTATTCATTCAGTGTGAATAAAACCTACCAAAAGGACAGACCCATGCAGAGCTCCCGAGCAGCAGGACTTAACAGCACAGGTACAGCACCACGTGAACGCGCTGCGGGCCATGCTGGGCACAATCAGCCACAGGACTAAGCCCAAACTAATAAGATACGAAGCAGCGCAGACACCTGCACTAAAACAGCAAGAGTGCAAGGCAGGAGCACAACAGATGGTTTCTTTGCTTGGAAAAAGAACAGAAAAGTAGGACTTGTGTCATGTAAAAAAAAACCCAAAAAACATTCTTTTGCACAGGGACCAAATTCTGACCCAATTAATTTTCCACCATGGATGGAAGTAGGATGAAAGGACCTTCTCCCTCAAAAAGCTGTTTTCTCCAGCAACATACCTATCCAAAAGATGTATTAAAAAAATAATGACTATATACAATTTTTTTACATGACCTGCATTTCACTCAATGTATAGATAGGTTGGATTGACTTCGGAAACGAGCCAGGATCATGTCCCCAAATGCCTGTTGTTTGCAGAAGCTAAAAGTGAGATGACGTTTGATTAATTCAGTGACAAAAGATTTTTATAGATAAGGAGCTCAGGCAGTCTGGCAGCACCCCACATCCTTCAGTTGAATCCAATCAAACTCCAGTTCTGAAGAAAAATGAAGAGGTAATAGCTATCTATCTATGAATCTCCATCCCATCAGCCTTACCCCCACCAAGAACCACGGGGAACAATCTGCGCACGCTGTAAGAGCATCCACTGTTTTAATGGAGCAACGGGATTCACTGGGGCACCTCAGGACAGTGCAGAATTACTAGAAGCTTCCCAAGATGTGAATCCCTTCTCTTGCCAGTACACTCTAGTGTTCAAACCTGATGTGTAATGAAAGATGCGGATGCAAATACGCCTGAAACATCCAGTTGGTTGAGGGAGGTATGTCTATTTGCTGACGAACAGATGGGAATACTGGGGAAAATGCCCTCAAAGGCTTATGAACGAAGTGGTTGCAAAGTCAAACAGCTTTTTTTTCTATGGAATAACTAAATATTTGAGTAGTGGGCAATGGCTAGCAGCTCAGTCTGCAGGCAGAACAATTAAATACCTACACCCAGTGAAGCACTACCCAAAGGAAGAGAAATTAAGTTGTTTCATCAATAAAAATTGTCCATCCAGGTCTCTGAATGAGGTAAGGAAACCATGGGAGAGACAAACACTTCTGCAACCAACAACCATGCCCACAGCCTTTTTTAACTGGAAAAAAAACAATCTGGATTCTGTCATTTCCTAACTTCTGAATGCTTGAGTTTGTCACTAATGCTCTTTGAACATATTTTGTTGTAAAAGATACTACAAGTAAAGCCAGTTGATCACCTTGTCCTCTGCATCGCTGGCATGGAAGCTGCATAGTTGCATGAAATCATACTGAAGATATTCAAATGCTGTCTGGACATGGTCCTGGGCAACTGGCTTGAGGTGGTTCTGCTTAAGCAAGGGGGTTGGACCAGATGACCTCTGGAGATCCCTTCCAGGCCCAATCATTCTGTGATATTCCTACCCTGGTGCCCTGTATAATTGTTGGGTATGAGGGTTCCTAATGGTTGTTGTTGGGTATGAGTTATTGAACCTAATGGTTATTGAAAAAAAAGCCCCAAAACTTGCCAGCATAAATGGCCATTAATTCCATTTCAGTGGTATTCAAATAACACTGAAATGCTTTTAAAAGACAAAAAACCAGAGCTGTGAATAATTGACCACTGCTGCGAACGTGAGATGTCTGTACATGACTAATGCACAACCCATTTCTTTGTAATACAGGATGTTTTGACACTGGATACACACTCACTGGGGACCAGAATGAGATCATCACATCCCTTCATACAAGTAATCACACTTCTACCCACTAGTGACACACCTTTAATTTGATTGCAAAGGTAAACAAGAGAGATAGTTACTAAAGTCTCTCTGAACTTCATTTGAAGTTTGGCATTTTTGAGATGGTGAACATCACTTCCCTTCCACTGAAGGAAAAAATAATTTTATCTCCAACTTGACAGGGAGAAGAATTAGGGTAACACCACCACTTTGAAAAATGCTACTTATAACACAGTTAAGAATGTAAATCCCAAGCCCTGAGATAGATGTGATTAATCACAGATGGTGCATCTTTCAAGTCCTGCTTGTAATATTTAATATTATAGCAAACAAACACTTGTGAGATCTGAGAAAACTTCAGTGGATCCTTCTTTCTGGAAAAGTATCAATACAAAAGGCTCTACCTTTCCTCTACCATGAACTACCTGGGCTATAAAATGCACAGAGGAAAACAATACCATGAGTCTTTTCAACTGGTATACATCCAAAATTCGACTTTTTTTTTTTTAATTATTTTTTCTAACCATTAGAATTTGGTGCCAGGGACAGAAAGAACACAAATTTGAAGGAGAAAGTAATTTTCCTACCATACTCCAGTATGGCACAGACCTTCATGTCATTTATCACACTTAAAAAGAAAATAACAAAAGTTCAGATGGTGTTATTATTATAGCAAAACAAGTTCTTCTTGTACTATGTGTATTGAAAACCCATAATTACAGAACTGTTAGACAATGACAAATGCTTAGACAATTCTGAGTACTCCCAAGGTATCCCCAGACAGTCAAATTGCTCTTCCTCAAGTCACGAAATGTGAGAAAATAGGTGGTTCTCTGATGGCCCAGAGAGTTGCTGAAAGATCAAAAAGTCACCACCCATGGAGAGCAGTAGGTCAGCACGTACTTGCTTTTGTGAAAGCTTCTCTCTAAAGGAAAGATCCCCAGGGATGGCTGATTTTTTTAAAACCACTGAAGCAATTATGCCATGGGGAACCACTGCAGGTACTACAGCAAAGTGTCATTCTGCAATGGCCAAAAATCAGATGAAATGTAGGAAATCTGCGTTTTCAATCTGAAGGTGAAGCAAGGAGACAGGAAAAAGAGTGAAGACAAAATACTCTACTTGCTAATGAGCTCTCTTGCCTTGTGGGTGAACTCGTGCCAGACACAACTAAAGGAAATAAGTATTTTAAGTTGCAACAGATCAAAACAGATTAAAGCACAAAATTTTATTTTCAGGATGGGGGATATCCCTGTCATCTGTAAAAACACATATGGTAACTTTGAGGGGGTTTTGTTGTTTTTAATGTAAGGTGTGAATTTCCCTGTGAAACCACATATGCACTACAAGGATAGATTTACTATCCCCTTCCTGCCTTTCAGCAGTCCCTCCCTAAGCATAGCTTGTGAACATGCTGAGAGGACAGACTTCACGGACAAGACGTTAAGTTTTCACAGGCCAATGATTTTTGTTTCACTGAAAACACATTTACCTGCCAAAGGCCAAGTTCTCTGTTGGCATAAATCAGTGCAGCTCCTTGCCTCAGCCACCTAATTTCATTTGCAGGCTTTATTTAAGGTTCAGATGAGAGCTTCACATATGCCTCTCCCTTTTTCCATATGAAGCCTGCTTAGCAGTTAAAGGAAACACTTACCTCTAGCAGCTCATCGCCAATATGCATCCTTCCATCTCGTCCCGCAGGTCCATCTGGATTGATACCAACTACAAAGATGCTCATACGAGAGCGGTCCTTGTTGCCAGCCAGACTCAGTCCAAGCCCATTTTTGTCTTTCTCAAGCTCAATAATGTGCAGCTCTCCTGGTAGATCTGCATATCTTTGCCTGATTTTTTCTAGAAAGATTAAATATAAAATGAGTTATAACATAAAATAACTTACGTGCAGATGGTCAAAGACATATAAATAAGCTAGAACTTGATGGCTTCTCAGCATTTACTTTTTGGTAACAGGTCTTTCCAGCACGGACTCTAAAATACCATTTGCTGTGCCTGTACCACTCACATAGCAAAATGCAGCATCAGCTGCAAATACTATTCACATTAAAACTGCACTATTTTAATTATTTGTACAACAGGCTGGTTCTAAATCAAAATTTTTTTTGAGAGGAGGATAAACAAGGGAATTCCAGAGCTACTTCAATCTTACCTTACAAAAACTATCAATTTCAGGCAACTCTCAGAAAGGCAGAGCTGGTTAATTAACCACTGTGGGAAATTGAAAGGCTTACGTTGCAAACGTACTGCAAACTCCCATCTCAAGGTAGAATCTTTTACTTTTGCTTCTTTCTGGTGACTCAGGAATCTGCTTCCCATGCTCTGCTGAACATTATGTGCTACTGTGCAGATGATTACTCAAAGCAGATGTCGGTGACAATGTATATGATTGATTACATTTTTAAATGCAGCCTCACTTGATATTAAGGTAGTTATTTGTCTTTCATCTACATTTCAACCATTTCTTTGACAGAGTGCAATATTCTTACAGAGTTATTTGGAGCACATTGCGTGTCTGTGGATGCTGACAGTTTAATCTCACTGCCTTTTCACCACTGGCATACAAACATCTATAACTATTGCTTGCGAGGGCCAATCACAGCAAGGGTAATTTTATTTTTTTCCTGTCTGATTGTCATTTGCAGATTTTAAAACCAGCTTCATAAAACCACCTGCATCCAATGCTTCAGCTGGCCCATGTTAAAAAAAAAACCCAAAAAAACCCCCCAAGTCAAAGTATTTTGCTGTGGCTGGATATCACCTTTAGTACAGAACCCAAGGTGAAAGAAACTGCTGCATTATGCAATAAGATGAGAAATAAGAGATATTATATGTTCAACTATATTTCTGAGTCAGCAGCAGTAGTTAGATCAATATTAGCTATTACCATTCTACTGGGGAAGCACATTTTAATAGTATGATTTAACCACTGTAGTGAATGTTCCCATGACAACAAGAAGGAAAGAGTTGGGGAAGGTGAGAAGGAAGCAACTAAAAGTGAATAAAAACTGCTGAGAAGATAGACAATGAAGTAGAGGGGTTCCTTCCACAGCCAAATTTAGCCAAACTGGGGTCCATCTCAGCAGCTCTCCTCTCTTAGGGTCCTTCTTCAGCAATTCTACCAGCTGCAGCAGCCCCTCATGCTTCAGCAGAGACCGCTGGGACAGGGGGAGCAGTCTCCTGTCTCCCATCCCATATGTACCCAAGAGACAAGAACCAGCTCTCCCATCGCTGTATTTACAGGCTGGCATTTTCCTGCTGTGCTCAAAATCCCCAGTGGCTTGGAGCCTGAGCCTAAAATCCTGGGAATGTATATTAAGGGTGAGATGTTTTCCCTGGAAAGCTGCAAAGCCCTACAGAGGTCTGCACAAAATCAGAATACCATAAAAAATTAGAAAACTCATTTGTTACTATCAATTATATGCCAAAAATTCCTATAACTGCATTAAACGGTAATCCATGTAGCTGCACAGTTCTTTAATATGTTTCTTAACTAATGGGGTCAAAATGTAATTAGAGGTGCAATTTGCTACTTGAATTTGGAAGGTGGTTTTTTTTCTGCTTAGTATGCAGGATACCTCCTGTCAAAAAACAGCAACTGAGGAAAGGTCTTGCAAACAGTGATTCTGAAAGTACAGCAGACACAAGCAGACACGCAGCCATGTGTGTTCTATTCACACCACTGAGGTTTAACATTCTTTTCCCTTTAAGCAAAATGCAGATGTGAAGAGCACTAAGACATTTTCTGCCCACCACAATTAGACAAACAACTCATTACAGCGCCGCAAGCAGCTGCAGCATATCCCAGCTGTGTGTTATTAAGATATTTAGATTCTATAATATTAAGAACAGGTCATCAGCAGAAAAGGGACGGCACTTTTGTGGATAAAGCAAAGAATCAGTGCTCTGGAGGGATGCTGTTGATGATCATTGCTCTGACACTGTTCCTTCCACGGACAACACATCTCACTTTCATTTGCTAGGAGCCAAGCACACATCTAGAGCATGTTTTTAGCAACTCATAGTTGGACACACAGAAAAGAGGTGCAGGGGCAAGGAGAACACACACACTTAAACGCCATACAGATGAAGCTGCACATCTTCAGAGACTACTTCAAAACTCATTTCTTGCTTGTAGTAAAACTCCTTGAAATTCCTCAGTTTCAAGAGGAGCAGCTCTGTGACACTGCACGTGGACACATCACTCCAGCATCTCTGCAGATGAGCATCTTCTGAATCTACCAGTGTCACCGAGCCTGTAAACTTTGCAGTGTTTCCTCCTGCTGCAGCAGCACAAAATGCGTTTTCTCACATGGGAAAAACAGCTGTTCAGAAGTAGGCACTGTATATTCCTGTTCCATGCTGGGCTGAAACTAAAATTAAGTTTTAATCTTCCAAAATTTAGTAGTTAGGGCAATTGCCTGGGATGAGACAGAGCCCCACTGAAGTTTCTGGTCTCCCTGCATTGGGCCAGGTTGAGCCTATGCCCAGCTCAGTGCTCCAGCTACACCAGTAATCCCCTCACTGTGGGAACAATTGTTTGGGTCAAGAAAAAATTTACCTGGGCAAAAAACAGAGATCAACTCTAGGGGTCATCAAATTGCTTTATTTGTTAAGATTTTTTTTTTTTTTAAAGTTTTTTGCCTGTTGCATGTTTTTGTTTGAAAAAAATCCATACTTACAACAGCAGGAAAGCTCTGTGTGGACTAAGTCCTTCATTAAATTATCACATTAATTTATGAAGTAACTGTTTGAAATGTCTGAGATGACTGGAGTGGTAAAATAAAGGGAGACTACAGAGGAAACAACAAAGATGCTACGTGCCGAGTGCCACTTCCAGCTTGGGAGGAGGTCACCGTATTGAGTGCTGCTAAAGATGCACACGTGTGCGTACGTGTTCACACATGTTGGGACAAGCAGAGATACCCCTGCTTTTAAAATCCAGCCTCCCTTAGCAGAGCATGCTGTCTCCTCCTGGAACAACAGAAGGTTCTGGCTCTCACAAGCCCCACCTCCTGCAATTAAACACTTCCAAGGGCTGTCCTCACCAGCCAGCCTCGCAGTGTAAATGAGAACGCGCTATTCCCAGCGGTGTCGTTGCGTTACTCATCCAATCTGCATACAAATATCCTTTGGGCATCCAGCTGACTTCCTATAACATTGTAATCGTATTCTCAGTTTGCCTCTTAATAAGAATCTCATAAGATTATTTTAAACAAGTATTTACTGCTTAAACAAACGTGCATCTAAGGCATCTTCCTTTTAATGCCTTTTTCAGCTGTTTTTTTTTCTCCCCTCCAGCTGGTATCACTTTTCAGTTCTCTGCCTAGCATTGGGAAGCCAGTTAGCATCTGCTTTTGCAAAGAATTCCATTATCTGCCTTCATTACCAGATACTTTACACAAGGCAATTGTAATTCTGTTGTTGCTGCATTACACATGGGACGCGGCGTTTCTTGTTTTGGCACTACACGGAGCTGTTTCCACATTCGGTGACAATATGCCTATCACAACTTCTGCAAACATATCTCACCAACGATACTGATCTAGCTTAGGTTCCATCCAGTTTCTTTTAAAAATACCATACAGATGTAACGTGAACTAAAAGCACAAGTATATGCTTTAGTGATCACTCCTGCAGTAATATTTCCTGGTTATATTAGCAGACAATTACATTTCAAAGAGAAACCCTGGAAATGGAAGACAACTGCTTTCAAACAATATACTATTATGCTGCTGCATATGTTTCCCTGCTTCAGCCACTATTCCTATTATATTAAACAGAGAGATAAAAGAAATAAATGGGGACAATATGGTCAGGATATTGGAGTTTGCATGATCTAGTATTGCAACAAATACATAATTTATCTGCAGGGGAAAAAAAAAAAAACAGACATCACTTCTCAGAAAGGCAAAAGGCTCTTTAAATTACAAAGATATATAAAGCAATTGCAAAGGGCTGAGGAGCCTGTTTCCCAAACCTGCTGAAATCTCCAGTTAAATGAGCTGAAAGGGAAGAGGTGTTTCTTTTGAAAATGGTGTCTCTGCGTGATGCAAATTAGAGTCCATCTAGAAAAGTAAAAAGAGGAAAGAAAAAGCTCTGGATGACTCAGCTAGGTGATTGGTTTTAGTACCAAATGCTCAATATTAAAACTGTCAAGGCAAACCACAGAGAAAAGAAAAGGGGGGAAAACCACCACAAAAAGAGATGACAGATGATATTTGTATATAGAAGGTGATAGTGAGGATTTTACATCCCTCTGGCGTTACCTCAGATAACTATAAGCAACACATGCTGGCTTTTGGAGACTTTACAATGGTCTCATTTATCAGCCTGTGTGCATTTTAATGCTTTTAGCTACCATTTTTATCACATAGCACATAACATGGTTACAGTCTTAGCCTTTTCTGAGATTACTCTGCTCAAACAGCAGCGCTGCAGCATCACAACCACTGTTTTTCATTTAGTAATGATAGATATCAGAATGCAGCCAGCATCCACTACACAGAGCCAACCTTGCATATCAAACAACTAATTCCCTTCTTGATTTCACTATAAACATTAAAAAAAAAAAAGTAGGAAGTCCCTTGAAAGCTAACCCTAGAGCTGTGAGGGCAGCACGTCTAATTCACTGATTACAATTTACAAGAACCTAAATAAGCGTATTTGAAGGGACCATAATTGAACAAATGGGGTTTAGAATTCTCCCACTACTAATAATATAATAAGCTTATTGTTTTAATCTTCCCACTAGCCCTCTATTCAGCTCCAAGGAAGCAGACAGTTCTTCAAACCTTATCTCAAAAGCGATGCACTCATCTGTTTTCATAAGCTTTACA